TTTTTTTTTTTTTAATCACAAAATGTTTTCCCAAAAATTCCCAAAATACTCAAAAAGACTGCCAGGTCTCAACCTGCATGCAAGATTATAGGGATATCATCACTTACTCCTAAAAATCACCTGGAGTTGGTACCACAGTGAGATTTTAATTAGAAAATTTAATCCTTTTTTTTTTTTTTTTTTTTTTTTAAATAAGGTGACAGTCAGCTTCAGAGAAACTGAGGAGAATGCAGTCTGGATTCGAATCGCCTGGGGAACACAGTACACAAAGCCAAACCAGTACAAACCTACCTACGTGGTATACTACTCCCAGACCCCGTACGCCTTCACGTCCTCCTCCAGGCTGAGGCGCAATGCACCACTTCTGGGTCAGGTATGGAACAAATTATCACAAGCTGTAATATTTTGTTACCCTTATCTCAAAGGTCTATATAGATTTTAACTGCTCAATAAGTATTTGATACAGAATACCAGGTGAGGTGTAGTGGCGTGTACCTGTGGTCCCAGCTATCTGGGAGGTTGAAATGGGAGGATTGCTTGTGTTCAGGATACCAAGGCTGCAGTGAGCTGTGATCACAAGACAGAGCAACACACCACCTCTAAAAAAAAAGATACAAAATACTACATTTAATTCTTGTTCTCTTAAAATAGGAAACAGAGAATGTTGTTATCTGCAGATGGGAACATGCATAAGGTATTAGTTTGGGGCTATACTTTATTGTTTTTTAATCTAGAAATAATGCATGCTTAATATAAAAAAATGCAACCAATACAGAAGTCTCTAAAGATAAAAAGTTTTCAAAGCTTCATACCCCTATTCCCTGTTCCATTCATTCAAAATAACTACCGTCAGAGTTTGCTATTTCCTTTGACAAGATGTTTATTAGAAAAGCCAGGGCAGGCCGGGTATGGTGGTTCATGCCTGTAATCCGAGCACTTTGGGAGGCCAAGGCAGATGGATCACTTGAGGTCAGGAGCTTAAGACCAGACTGGCCAACGTGGTGAAACCCCATCTCTATTAAAAATACAAAAAAAGTAGCTGAGATGGTGGCGGGCACATGTAATCCCAGCTACTTGGGAAGCTGAGGCAGGAAAATCACTTGAACCTGGGAGGTGGTGGTTGCAGTGAGCCAAGATTGTGCCATTGCACTCCATCCTGGGCAACAAGAAAGAAACTCAAAAAAAGAAATTCAACAGAACATGTCCACATGGTTACAAATGAATATACCTCATTGCTTTTTCATAACTGTATAATTTGCCTATTGATGAACATCATTTTCATTTGTAACCATTTCTCCCACATTCCATACACAAGGAGACTGCTTTAACTAAGATGTAGTCTGTTCAGAGCCTGCTTCTCTTTATGGTTCTGCCTTTAGTATCACAAGCTTCCTAGGATCTTTCCCCAAAGTAAGTTCTCCCTAAATTGGTGTAGCAATTGCTGCTGCCACTATTAGCATTCACAACCACAGAGGCACCTTCAATTGGTTCCAGAGCTGCCACATCAGCAGGTTGTAGTGAGTAGCTTCGCCATCCTGGCTGCATCACCGCCTGTCACTACACACAGCAAAGTTGGGTACAGAGCTGGGTGGAGCTGCTGTGTAGACTCCAGTGTCGTGACCAGGCGAAGCCCTAGGATCCCTGTGACTGTACTTGCTTGTCATTTAAGTTTTTTGGTGGTTTATTGAAATGGCAAAGACTGCTACTCAATTCTATTTCCTTTTAACACTTCTTTACATTTGGGGTCTCCTCCTCCATGACACATAGTAGTCTTTCATTCAGTTACACCTAGGTAGTTTAAACATTACCTTACCACAGGTAGTTTAAACATTACCCCAAAGGCTAGTATTCTTTTTTTTTTTTTTTTTTTTTTTCTGTTGCGACAGAGTCTTGCCCTGTCACCCAGGCTGGGGTACAGTGGGACACGATCTTGGCTCACTGCACCCTCCATCTCTGAAGTTCAATTGATTTTCCTGCCTCAGCCTCCCGAGTAGCTGGGACTACAGGCACTCACCACCATGCCTGGCTAATGTATTTTTGTATTTTTAGTGGAGACGGAGTTTCACCTTATTGTCCAGGCTGGTCATGAACTCCTGACCTCAAGTGATGCACCTGCCTGGGCCTGCCAAAGTGCTGGGTTTACAGGCGTGAGCCACCACTCAGACTAATGTTCATTTCTATTGCGCATCTTAAGGCAAACTTGTCTCTATTCTCTAGATCCATGTAAACATCTTAACCTAACATAGTAATTCTGTTTTGGTCTTCTTTTTCCCTGACAGGAAACTTTTTTAAGTTGTATTCAATACTCACTGTTTTCTTCAGCATTTGCCCTAAAGCGTACATATCTGCATTTCTGAATGGCAGTATCATTATAGTATTAGATGACTGGCATTCAAAAACAGTAACACTTTGAGTATTTATTTTTTATTCCCAAGTCTGAACTTGATTTATTATAACTCCTAACTTTAAACAGGATCACTTTTCTAAAAAAACGATTTAAAAAACTGCATTTATGAGAATCTTAATGGCATTAACCACTCTGTTTTTGAAATTAGTAACAGGCTGTCAGATTTTTTTCTAGACTTCTTTTTATACTTAAGGGGAAACTATTCACTAATTGCAGTTCTTACCCTTTTACTTTGACAAATATTACAAACACAGAGACAGTAATCCTAATAGTCTTGTACATTTTCATTTCAAGGCACTGACAGTTGCTAGCAAACACCATCAGATTGTGAAAATGGACCTGAGAAGTCGATATCTAGATTCTCTCAAGGCTATTGTTTTTAAACAGTATAATCAGGTGAGCCAATCTGTGACTCTCTTTAAAGGTAAATCTTTATTTTCTCTTTCACACCGGAGTTAGAAGCTAGTGGGAAAAGTCGCTACTGGGAAAAATCTACCTCTGACAAGAGGAGATCACTTTAGGTATTACTGAAATGAAGAAAGCTTGTTATTAGTGAACATGAAAGGAAAATAAAAATTCCCTACAGTCATCTTTTTACAATTGTGTTTTATACCACTCATTAGTCATTGGAGTCTATGTTATAGATCTCAGCTTCCAAATCAGCTAATCCTCCTAGAATTTGTTTTTTCTTTAGAGTAATTTTACATTGTCTTTTGAAGCTAAATACATTATTCTATCAAACAACAGAAAAGTGTAATTAGTTTTTTGTCCCATCAGTCTAGCAGGTTATATAGGCGCTGGAATTAAAGAGAAAAGCCATGCTTTTTTTAAGTCCCAAAATTCATTTGTTAAAATTATTGGAATGTAATGTTCCCCTCTAATGACAAGTACAGATCTGTCCTTACAGTGCAGGGGTGTTTTTTCAAACTATGCATGACAAATGTCTGCATATGTGTTGAGACTCCTGTGGTGGATTGTTAATGTGCTGTGTATATCTTTGAGCCATTAGAGATGTTATAGTTAGGCATTTTCATCTGTTCTAAGCAGAAAGAAGTGATGCTCCCTGCAAGTAGTCCCTCTTTAAGGAAAAACTATCATTAAGAAGTTTTGTCAGTCGGGCACGGTGGCTCACGCCTGTATTCCCAGCACTTTGGGAGGCTGAGGCGGGCAGATCACCTGAAGTCAGGAGTTCGAGATCAGCCTGACCAACATGGAGAAAGCCATCTCTACTAAAAATACAAAAGTATCTGGGCATGATGGCGGATGCCTGTAATCCCAGCTATTTGGGAGGCTGAATCAGGAGAATCACTTGCACCCAGGAGGCGGAGGTGGCAGTGACCCGAGATTATGCCATTGCACTCCAGCCTGGGCAACAAGAGCGAAACGCCATCTCAAAAAAAAAAAAAAAAAAAAAAAAAAAAATTATATCATGAGGCCAGGCACAGTGGTTCACATCTGTAATCCAGCATGTTAGGAGGCCAAGGTGGGAGGATTGCTTCAGCCCAGGATTTCAAGACTAGCCTGGGCAACATAGGGAGAACCCATCTCTACAAAATAAAAAATAATTTTTTTTTAATTTAAATCATGATTTTCTTCTCTAGCCATCCCCTCCTACCTACTACCTTCCACCAAATTGATATAAACTCTTCTGCTGTCATATGACAGCAGTAGCCAGGCACAGTGGCTCATGCCTGTACCCCTAGCTCTTTGGGTGAATTCCTTGAGCCCAGGACCAGCTTGGGCAATATGGCAAAACCCTGTCTCTACCAAAAATACAATAAATAGCCAGGTGTGGTGGCATGTGCCTGTAATCCTAGCTACCTGGGAAGGTTAGGTAAGAGGATCACCATAGCCCAGGGAGACTGAGGCTACAGCGAGCCCTGATTACGCCACTGCACTCCAGCCTGGGCAACAGAATGAGATATTGTCTCAAAAACAAAAAAAAATGACAATGGCATTCTTAGGAAAATCCACATTGTCAAGCACTAAACTATAAAAACAGTGGCTTCAGTGGGTGAACGTAGGAGAAGGAGTTCAGGAGATTCAGACTTAAAGTAGGAAGGTTATCTTTCCAAAAGCAATCTCAGTAAGTTTTTTAGGGTTGTGAAGATTCAGCACTGACGATGCTGAAATACCACAGTGCAAATGCTTCTGTTGATTCCTTGGGCTTTGCACTTGCCAGATCCATTTCTTTTTCTTTTTCTTTTTTTTTTCCTTGAGACGGCGTTTTGCTCCTGTTGCCCAGGCAGGAGTGCAATGGCGTGATCTTGGCTCACCGCAACCTCCGCCTCCCAGGTCCAAGCGATTCTCCTGCCTCAGCCTCCCAAGTAGTTGGGACTACAGGTGTGTGCCACCACGCCTGGCTAATTTTTTGTGTTTTTAGTAGAGACAGGGTTTCACCGTGTTTGCCAGGATGGTCTCGATCTCCTGACGTGATCCACCTGCTTTGGCCTCCCAAAGTGCTGGGATTACAGGTGTGAGTCACCACGCCCGGCTCACCAGATCCATTTCTGTGATAACAAAGGACCGAGCTCCCCAAACGGAACAGTGAGCTGCAGCCCCAGCAGCCTCCTTATCAGTGTCCTGCTCAACTCAGCCAGGATATGGCCTCGGACCTTTTTGTTGGAAAAAAAAAACATTTGGCATACTTTAATATTCTAAAACCAATTAATATGTATACTTCAAGATGTCAAAATTAGTAAAACATTCACTTTTTTTTTTCCTAGATCTTTGAAACTCACAACTCTACAACGCCTCTACAGGAAAGAAACCTTGGACTAGATATAAATAGTATGTGTGTTTTAATATAAAACTGAATTTTGGAAATGCATCATTCCCTTATAGATTTCTTTCACTTGGTAAACCGTGTATACTGGGATCCTAATTCAACACTATGTATTTTCAGAAAAATTGAAAATTAAGTATCTGTTGAAGGAGGAAAGCTAATCGACCATAGGTCTCCATTAGAATTTACTGGAGTAACAATAAACAACAAAACAATAATGACAAAAACAAAAATTAGCTAATAGTTGCCAAGCATTTCTTGTGTGCCAGGCACCACACTAAGATGTTTATATACATTCTTTCCTTAATCTTCACAGTAGTCCTGTGAATAAGTGCTATTCATTGGTTTGGTAACTCTCTAGGCAAAGTCACACAGCTAAGGAATGGAAAAGCCAGCTGTGAAATCCCGGTGTGTCTGGGTCTGGAGCCCATGCTGTTAATGCACTGAATAAACTTCTAGAACAATCAGAATCTAAGTATATTGCTACTCAAAGATGACTGAAGTCTCTCACTAGAAAACCCAAGCAAACAGAGTACAGAACTACTAATTTATATTAAACAGAGTACAGAACTACTAATTTCTCTCACTACAAAACCCAAGCGAACAGCGTACAGAACTACTAATTTATATTACTTTAGTAAATTCACAAAAATGGTGGGGTACAATATAAATTCATTAAAAAATGAAAACTTTCCTATTTCTTAGTAAAAATTTGGCAATGAAACAAAAACAGTGCCACTGTTCCAAACTAGACACTTTTATGATTTGCCAATGTCATATGAACTGCTGTTGATCTCATTTTAGGTAAAGAAAGTAGGATATAAAATTGTGGGTATTTTATGATTCCAGTTTTAAAAATACTTAGATGAGGGCAGGAGCAATGGTATGCATCTGTGGTTTCAGCTACTTGGGAAGCTGAGGTGGGAAGATTGCTTGAGCCCAGGAGATCCAGTCCAGACTGGGCAACATAGTGAGACCCCATCTCTTAAAAAAAAAAAAATACATATAGGTGCCGTGGCTCACGCCTGCAATCCCAACACTTCAGGAGGCCAAGGTGGGCAGATCACTTGAGCTCAGGAGTTTGAGACCAGCCTGGCCAACATGGTGAAACCCAATCTTTACTAAAAATACAAAATTAGCCGGGCATGGTTGTGCACTCCTGTAATCCCAGCTACTTAGGAGTCTGAGGCACGAGAATCGCTTGAACATGGGAGGTGGAGGTTGTAGTGACCTGAGATTACGCCATTGCACCCCAGCCTAGATGACAGAGCAAGACTCTATCTCCAAAACACACACACACACACACACACACACACACACACACACACACGCATCTTTATTTTTATTCACTGTAAAAAGAGCTAGGCAAAAATATACTAAAATGCTAACAGTGCTTATTTCTGGGTGGTAGAATTACGATTTTTATTTTTTTATTTTTTCTCTTATCCACCTGTACTTTCCAACTTCCCTACAATAAGAAATTATTACAACCAAAAGAAACAGCACTAAATATTATTTTAAAATTATGCAAACAATTTGAAGGGTTAGGAATGAAAGGAGGATAATTTAAGGATGAAATATATTCCTAATGGCTGTTTTATTTGAAATCTTCCACCTATAGTGGATTCAAGGATCATTCATGAAAACATTGCAGAAAAAGAGAGAGTCCAACAAATAACTCAAGAAACGTTTGGAGATTATCCTCAACCACGACTAGAATTTGCACAATATAAGGTAAGACATAGTAATAAATATTAACTATTGAATATTAAGACATCAACATTGTTTAAAAAGAACGAAAACCTTAAGTGAAAAACAAATCTAAGAAACTGTTCCTCTTTCATGTATCACTTCAATTCATGTAATAAATTTATGAATTAAATAGACCTCTTTATTGTATTTATAAGTTCTTCTGTTAGCATAGGAGATCTTTATAAATTATGAATTTGAGCCGGGTGTGGTAGCTCACACCTGTAATTTCAGCACTTTGGGAGTCTAAGGTGGGTGGATCACCTGAGGTCAGGAGTTTGATGCCAGCCTGGTCAACATGGTGAAACCCTGTCTCTACTAAAAATATAAAAAAAACCCAGCTGGGCACAGTGGCTCACGCCTGTAATCCGAGCACTTTGGGAGGCTGAGACGGGTGGATCACAAGGTCAGGAGATTGAGACCGTACTGGCTAACACGGTGAAACCCCGTGTTTACTAAAAATACAAAATATTAGCTAAGTGTTGTGGCATGCACCTGTAGTCCCAGCTACTTGGGAGGCTGAGGTAGGAGAATCTCTTGAACCCGGGAGGCAGAGGTTGCAGGGAGCCAAGATCGCGCTGCTGCACTCCAGCTTAGATGACAGAGTGAGACTCCATCTCAAAAAAAAAAAAAAGAAAAAATTATTCAGATGCAGTGGTGCATGCCTGTAATCCCAACTATTCAGGAGGCTGAGGCAGAAGAGTCACTTGAACCCAGGAGGTGGAGGTTACAGTGAGCCAAGATGTACCACTGCACTTCAGCCTGGCAGACAGAGCGAGACTCCGTTTAAAAAAAAAAGAAATTATAAATTTGCCTTTTTGTTTCATCTTACATATTAATGCAGTTATGCATAACTGGCCGTAATCTGTTTATCTGAGGGGGAAAGAAATGTAAATTATACCGTTCTAGCCCATCCACACCTAGAACAGTACTTGGCACATAATAGGTGCTCATAAATACATGCTGAATACAATAATGAATCAGTAAGTAATTACATAGCCCAGCTGGCATCACATGGAGAAAAGCCAGTAACCTAGGCAGTACCACAAATGTGGCTTGTTCCAGAAGTGTGCCTTCCAGACATGTGCTGCTGCCCACCAGGAAGGCCAGGACAGGTGTTTAACGCAAACCCACTGCCACCATTAGGAGAACTGGAGGTTTATATTGTGATCACTCTAATTTCACTCCATGCTCATACTCAAAACACCTTTCTGCCCCCAAGCCCTCCAATAGATTTTTTTTTTTTTTCTCTTTAGCCTTTCTATAGCTACAGGCCACACTTTAAATCCGCCATTGATCTGCTCACTTAAGCCCAAAGCCTGTTTGATTTGATTTATTTTTAGTGGGAGAAATGGATTGACACTTTTCAAGTTGGGTCCCTTAATGGCAGACTTTAAACTAGTTCCTTCAAACAGTTTATAATCTAGGATAGTGGTTCTCAAAGTGTAGTCCCTGGCTTGATAGTATCAGCATCCCTTGGGAATGGGTAAGAAATGCCAATTCTTGGCCCCACCCTAGTCCTACTAAACTGGGGCAGGTGGGACCCTCACAAGCCCTCTAAGCTGATTCTGCACACGCAAACCTGGGAACCAGCGGTCTAGGATGCAGAAAATATGATTTGAGCATTTTTTTTTTTTTTTTAAAGACGGAGTTTCACTCTTATTGCCCAGGCTGGAGTGCAATGGTGCAATCTCGGCTCACCACAACCTCCAGGTTCAAGCAATTCTCCTGCTTCAGCCTCACGATTACAGTAGCTGGGATTACAGGCATGCACCACCACGCCCAGCTAATTTTGTATTTTAGTAGAGACAGGGTTTTTCCCTGTTGGTCAGGCTGCTCTTGAACTACCGACCTCAGGTGATCCACCCAAATTGGCCTCCCATAGTGCTGGGCTTACAGGCGTGAGTCACCACACCTGGCTACATTACTGATCATTATTTCCGCTGGGTGATATGCACATGAAACTCCTTACTTTTGTATATGTTTAAAATCTTCTATAATTAGAACTTAAAAAGAAATGTCAGCTGGGTGCAGTGGCTCACACCCATAATCCCAGCACTTTGGGAGGCTGAGGCAAGAGGATTCCTTGAACCCAGGAGATGGACCAGCGTGGGTAACATGGAAAATCCCTGTCTCTACAGAAATTCAAAACTACAGGGCATAGTGACATGTGGCTGTAGTCCCAGCTGCTTTTGCTGAGGTGGGAGGATGGCTTGAGCCAAGGAGCTTGAGGCTGCAGTGAACCATGTTCGCACCACTCCAGCTTGAGCAACGAAGTGAGACTCTGTCCCAAAAAAGAAAGAAATCTCATTGTGACTCAAAAAAAGAGTGGTATATTTACATTAAAATTGTAGATTGGAGAAGATAACACTAATTTACCGTTAAGAATACAAATTGTAAAGGGCACCTGAGGGCGGAACTGACACTTAACGTCTCCCATGTGGCAGGCACTGGGCATGCTGGCATTTTGCCTTGGATGTTGTTTGATATACCAGTTGCCCTCTATGTTTTTTTTCTCTTTTTTTTTCTGAGATGGAGTCTCACTTTGTTGCCCAGGCTGGAGTAGAGTGGCACCATCTTGCCTCACTGCAGACCCCACCTCCTGGGTTCAAGCAATTACCTGGGATTACAGGTACACACTACCATGCCCAGGTAATATTTGTATTTTTAGTAGAGACGGAGTTTCACCATGTTAGCCAGGCTGGTCTCAAACTCCTGACCTGAAGTGATCCACCCGCCTTGGCCTCCCCAAAGTGCTGGGATTACAGGTGTGAGCCACCATGCCCTGCCTGCCCTCTATGTTTGTAGTTAGCTAATTAAATGGTCCCCACCCCTGTTAATTCCTGTATTTCTTAATGGCAAGAACTAATAGAATGTATCATTCTGATTTCACTGTATTTCACCATTTATACAATACATTTAATAGTCACTTATAAATATGTTTGTTGACAGCTTGAAACGAAATTCAAAAGTGATTTAAATGGGAGCATCTTGGCTGAGAGGGAAGAACCCCTCCGATGCCTAATAAAATTCTCTAGCCCACATCTTCTGGAAGCATTGAAATCCTTAGCACCAGCTGGTAAGTGGTCAGCTTACTTTATAAGCTAGAAAAGTTAACAACATGCCTCTATTCTGTCCTCATATCTGCTGACTAATTACTTCTGAGCTCTCCCATCACCCAGTCTGCTAGCCCGTCATGCTTTATTGTGCATCTTCTGCTTCTATACTTAACTGGGGGAGGGGGGCCCCTCCATGATCCACCCTCTAATCTCGGCCATTTTTAAACTGACTTCAATCCATCCTTCTGTGACGACTTTTAATTTTCTTTTTTCCTTTTTTTTAATTTAAATTTCAGGTATTGCAGATGCACCCCTTTCTCCACTGCTCACTTGCATACCCAACAAGAGAATGAATTATTTTAAAATTAGAGATAAATAAGACGTGTGTGGTTTCATAAACACAGCTCCTCCTCCATGACATTGCACGTGCACTTCCGTTAATGGCTGGCTGTATAGCTTCTGTCTGTAGACTTGTATTTTAGAGAATCCTTGTTACTGAATTTTTAGAAATGCTCACATAATTGTTGGGACTGATTCATTCCTCCATGATATGCATCCTGTCTCGCATACCCTACTAACTAACAGTTGTGGCCTTTGAGATGACAGGACATACATATATATATGGCTCCACACTTGACCTTGAGTGCTTGAATGCTCTGAAATCAAGCATTTGGCACAGTGCTGGAGACTTTGGGGCTTGTGTTCTTTTTCCCACTGCTGTCTCTTCTTGATTCTGGGGAGGTCTGATTCCAGCTGCTGGTTTCCAGGGATTCATTCTTAAGCCTTAGATCCATGGAAAGAAGCAAAAGGAAACTATACTCACTCAAAACTTTTAGAAGAATCATGAAATTGGTCCATTCAAAGGACAGAGTTGAGTCCACTGTGCTATTGTTGCAAGAGCTTGCGTATTTGGTGAGTCAGTTATATAAAATAATATTCTTGTTGTAAATATGATACTTTTCATAATTATTTTATCATGTATATAACATTCAAACTGACATATTATACTGATTTATTAATAAAGATATAAAAACACTGGCACATCAGTTACTTTTGATGAAAGTCTTTCAGTGATCATCACTAAATACCATGTTTTTTTAAAAACGTTTTCTACTTTTTTATTTATTATTTATTTTTGAGAGAGAGTCTTGCTCTGTCACCCAAGCTGGAGTGCAGTGGCATGATCATGGCTCACTGCAGCCTTGCCCTCCCAAGCTCAAGTGATCCTCCCAGCTTAGTCTCCCAAATAACTGGGATTACAGACATGCTCCACCATGCCCAGCTAATTTTTTTTTTTTTTTGACAGAATCTCTTTCTGTCGCCCAGACCAGAGTGCAATGGAACGATCTCCACCTCCACCTCCCAGGTTCAAGCGATTCTCTTGCCTCAGCCTCTGAGTAGCTGGGATTATAGGTATGCACCGCCATGCCCAGCTAATTTTTGTATTTCTAGTAGAGAAACAGGGTATCACTATGTTGCCTAGGCTGCACTCAAACTCCTGGGCTCAAGCGATCCTCTAACCTCAGCCTCCTGAGTAGCTGGGACTTCAAGTATAAGCCACTGTGCTCAGCATTTTGATTGTTTTAAACCTTTGATATTTGACAGGCTTACCAAAATCAAAATTCTCTCTTGAGATGGAGTCTCACTTTGTCGCCCAGGCTGGAGTGCAGTGGTACAATCTCAGTTTAATGCAACTTCCACTTCCCGGGTTTAAGCGATTCCCCTCACGCAGCCTCCCGAGTAGCCAGGATGACAGGTGCTCACCACTAAGCCCGGCTAATTTTTTTTGTTTGTTTCGTTTTATTTGAGACAGAGTCTTGTTCTGTTTCCCAAGCTGGAGTGCAATGGCACAATCTCAGCTCACTGCAACCTCTGCTTCCCAGGTTCAAGCGATTCTCCTGCCCCAGCCTCCTGAGTAGCTGAGATTATAGGCGCACACCACCACGCCCAGCTAATTTTTGTATTTTTAGTAGAGACAGGGTTTCACCACGTTGGCCAGGCTGGTCTCGAACTCCTGACCTTGTGATCTGCCCGCGTTGGCCTCCCAAAGTGCTGGAATTACAGGTGTGAGCCACCACACCTGGCTAAAATTCTATTCTATTTAACTTGATTTTTCTCTTCACGGCCAGCGCACTCTGGTTTGTCAAACTTCGAGGGAAATTTCAAACTAGGGAATATTGAGGCACAGAAAATGATGGATGGTACTTGGGCATGCTGGGTGCTTTTGAAAATGGAAAGGCCTAAGAAATCAGCCTCAGAGTCAAGGTCCCTCTAACCTTGTCTTATTCTTGCCTCAACCAAGGGCAGAGAGGAACTCCCTCTGGAATCTCCTTGTCTAAGAAAGCTTCTTACCAAAAGGAACACAAATGCCCTCTATTCTTTCCTTTAAATCTCATTATCTATCAAAGAAATGAAGACTGAAGAATACAGCCACACATGGATGGACCTTTTCATAAGGCCTGCCCTTCAGGCTTATTCAGATTCCAAAGAGAATCATTTACAAGTTAATTTCTGTCTCCCTGGTCCATTTATTCTCCCTAATAATCATTTACTGCTCCTCAAAACAATTGTATAGGTTCCCTATCTCCTTACACCCCTATGAAAAAGGGTATGTAAGCGTCCATACCCCATTGGGGGTTGGGGGATATAATCACTCTCTGATTCCTCCCCTTCTCCCCAGGCATATTAATAAAGCTTGTATGCCTTTTCTCCTATTAATCCATTTTTCATCAGTTGATTTTCAGTGCATTTTTTAGCACTTTTTAGCAGGATCCAAAAGCTGCCCTGCTCTTCTGGAAGCCACAGTCAAGGGACCCAGGACTTGAGCAGCTGGCAGAGGGATTGTACCTTCTGTATGTCCCATTGTATCTATGTTAAAATCACGATGTCACAACATTTAGACATGGCTAATCAAATGTATGCCCCTCCTTATATACAGCTAACTGCTATAGACTAATGCAGTCCTCCTTGTTAAAATGGTCCCTTGTTACTCAAATTTGACCAATCTTGGAAGCAGTGATTTGACTACCCCCTTTGTGGGACAAGACACTGTAGAAATAGGTGTTTCTAACTCTAAGGAAAACAGATAACTAGTCTGTAGCCAACCAACGAGTGATTTATCAGCTCTGCTATCTTGGATCTGGATCAAAAGAGGGAAATGTGAAATGTGATACACAAAATGGCATCACTTTGGTTCAGAGCTCTAAAATGGAGTTGGGAAGCCATTCTAAGAAGGACTTGCCTGCACAATCGCAACTTGGAAAACACAAAAACAAAAAATATGAACTTGCCATGAAGCTTTGAACTGGGCCAAAATTGCAATAACCACTACATCCTGGAAAACTGAATTTTGCCAGTGTTACAACTCTTAACAGCGACAACCAGTAAACTATGGATGCGTGTACTAAGCCATTTATCTCCTCCAGTGATAATTCTTTCAAAACAACTCATGTAATAACCCTCTACTTTCTTTTAAAAACCTCTATTTCTCTCCCTCTTTTCAGAACCCAGTTTGGCTTCTAGGTGAATGTGTGTCTCCCAAATTGCAATTTCTAAGACCCCAATAAAAATCCCTTGTTTGGCCAGATGTGGTAGCTTGTGCCTACAATCCTAGCACTCTTGGAGGCTGAGGCAGGTGGATCCCTTAAGCTCAGGAGGTCAAAACCAGCCTGGCCAACATGGCAAAAGCTGTCTCTTTTCTTTTTTTTTTTTTTAAATTAAAAACAGTGCCTTCTCTCACTGCTTTGCAGTGTGGTCTTTCACCTCTTGGTTGACATAAGCAGTCAGTTCTACAGCAGATACCAGCTGCTTGTGCTCCAGTTCAATCCAACACTAACTACCTGGCGATATCATCAGACCCCCACAGGTTAAGGGCTCAGTCTCACAAAGCTGCCACCCACTTCTGAGGCCAGCTACCAGCCCCAGGTTCTTTAACCTGCGCTTCTGACTAACCAGTTATAAATTGCATTTCCCACAGCCCTCTGTTCGTGCTCAATTAGTTTGCTAGAGCAGCTCACAGAACTCAGGAAATCACATTGACCGACTTCTTATGAGAGATGTTACAAAGGATTCAGATGAAAAGATGCACAGGGCAAGGCTTATGGGAAGGGACATGAAGCTTCCATGCATGCCCTCTCTGAGGGTGCCTCCCTCCAGGAAACTTCATGCATTCAGCTATCGGGAAGCTCTCCAAACCTAGTTCTTTTGGGAATTTATGGAACCTTCATTTCATAGGAATGACTGATCAACTTAAGCTTCAGGCCCTGTCTCCTCCCCAGAGGTCGAGGGGGAAGACTGAAAGTCCCAAGCCTCTAATGCTGTCTCATCCTAAAGCTACCTAGGGACCTCTAGTCATCAGTCCACTCATTAGCATACAAAAAGACACATCACTTTGCTGATTCCAGGGATTTTAGGAATTGCATGCCAGGACAAAGACCAAACACTTCACGTTATCACAGTTAGGTTGCAAGGCAAAGTGACTTGGCAGTTGGAGAAATTATCCTGGGTGACTTGAATGGGCCCATTGTCATCACAAGGGGCCTTAAGAATAGAAGAGGCAGAGGGATCACCAGTGAAGAAATCAGAGTGATGTGATGCGATGAAGACTCGACTCACCGTTACTGATTCTGGAGATGGAGGAAGGGGCCACAAGCCAAGGAATGCATGCAACCTCTAGAAGCTGGGAAAGGCAAGTAAACGGATTCTCCCCTGGAGCCTCCAGAAGGAATACAGCCCTGCTGACACCTTGATCTTAGCCCAGAAGACTCATTTGTTTAGACCTCCAGAACTGTAAGATAATAAATTTGGGTTAAGGCAGTAAGTTTGTGGTAATTTATTAATAGCAAGAGAAAATGAATATAGCTGCTAGTATGTAAAAGTTGGACGTTTTCACATAAAACTCTAGCCACACCAAAGATGAGTAGCAGCTGCCCCCTTTTAATAAAGGATGTGTTTCACTGCAGTCCTCACCCCTCCCTTTTGTCTACCCCGGCCCCTTTATGCCCATTTACATAACCTATCCAGTATAAGTATTTAAGTTTTAGAATCATGTACTGAACTACAGTGTCTCATAAACAGTAATCCTAATTTCAGCAGTTAAAATAGAGGCAAGCAAATCCAGCCTCCCTAATGTGATTAACCCTATCCGTTTTAACAATCCTTTCGTTTGTATAGTGTAGTCTAGGTAAAGTAACTTAATTTCTATAAGCCTAAATGTCTGCACAAAGTGGGGCAACTTACAGTACGTACCCGCTACAGTCGTTTTGAAGACAAAATGAGACAGCATGAAAAGTGCATCCCCCCAGACTCACCTGGTACCCGGTAAGATCTAGGTAATTAACAACGGCGGAAATTAGGGTACTTCTGCCTCATCTGCCACTGAACATTTGGGTTGTTTGTAATCTTTGGGAAGTAAACGAATTGCCCAACGTATTGCTTTATCTTTTGTCTGACTACTGCCTGAAGTTCCTAGGAAGAATGGTTAGAGGTGGGGGGCAATACCTTTTACCGGCTAGCAG